TATTAAACATAATAAATTATCATAATAAATTATTTTCTTTGTCATTTTGATAATTTTCAAACATTAATAATTATAGCAATATATTAGGTAGATTAATAACGCCTTAGGAATTAATCTTAACAATTAAGCAACACTTTCAATAGGAAAATTAATATATATGCGTTCATTATTTATTATTATTCTTTAGTACGTTAAATTAAACACTGGTAATTTTTCTATGAAAATATTATGTTATTTAATTGAAAATTTCAATATCAAATTCATAGTATCAAAAGCTTATTAAAGACATAAATAACTCACATTTGCCCTTCAAAAGCATTGGTAAATCCCTTCATATGCTACAGCAATTTTTGACTCGTTTGAGATGCCGCAAAGAATTTTATGATTGTCATAAATTAGCACGGAATTGCTACTGGGGTTGAAACATTCGATTTCTGAAATTATAATTGACATAAAGTTATTCGAAATAACATTTCTGTTAAATTACTTACCTTTTACTCAACATGATACAATCATATAATTAACATCAAATTCGCATTAAATAATATAAACAATATTTATTAAAAAATTCGCGTTCACTTAATAATTTGTAAAATCAATAATTTGAATATTTATTAATTATAACTTAAGTTATTTGTCTTCAATAACTAAGTGTAATTTATTTTTCACTTTTTATATTTTTAATTAGAAAGAAAAAAAACTTTCAAGTAACTTTGAAAGTCGCAGTTTTTCAATCAATGTAATACATATATATATATATATATATATATATATATATATATGAATATGAGTGAAACTTATTAAACTCTATTTCGTTAAAAATATATAATTATAAATATTTTAATTGCTATTAATACTCTAAATAGTTGTTTGACAAAATACGATTAAGTTTTGCTTCTGGTATAATTACATAATTAATGAAATACTATGGATAAAAAGTTTAAAACGTTCAAAGTAATTCCTGGGAAATCAATATTTTTATAATAACGTACTTCAATAAAATGTAATCAAATACAAGCTTATAATAATGAGATCAATATCAAAATTATTATTATTTTATTAATAAAATAAAATATATTTTGTATTAAAAAATAACAGGACAATGGATTCCTTAAGGATTTTGTTTATTCGTATATTATTCCAGTAGCTACTTATGAATATTTAAAACATGTGGGTAAAGCTATATATACAGTCATAATTAATAACTAATAATATATTGAAATTTATCTACATTTAAATAATTTTATGTAATGTAGAAAAACTTACAAATCTACATATCTATACTTTTAAGTACTTCAAAGAGGTAAAGGATATTATTATAATTTCCTGTAATATAACAGAATGAAAATACATATGAATCGGTTAATTAAACATAACTCAAAATTAATTAATACGCATGTATCGCAACACCTTGCCCTCTTACTCACAGTCAATACTCTTTACCATATATAGTGTGTTAGTTTTCCTCTTTCCTCGTCTTTTTATTCTTTACAGTCCTTAAACCTTTTTATATATATATATATTTTTCTTCTACTCTAGTTGCTTTTCTTTCTTTCTATTTTCTTTTTATATCTTTTATTACATTTTTACGATTGACTTTCTCTTTTACTTTTTCTCTTTACTTTTTACTATTATTTCTCTTTATTACTTATTCTTTACTTTTGCTTTTTCTCATTCGGTTTAACTATGATTAAGTTGCATATTGCTTAATTACGCTATTCATTTTATTATACGCTACAGTTGTACAATTTTTTAATATCTATTTGCATGCCAACTTTTCTCTTTTATTATTGCTCCTTCATTTTAATAATGTGATCGTGTAGCTATTCCACGTATAGGTTCTTTGTCTTCGTTTTTATTTCGCAATCCTTCGTGAATTACAAATTACAATTTATTACGATTGAATATGGTACAAAATTTGCTTGTACTTTTTACGAAGATGCTTTGTAATTATAATTGAACTATATTGTTTTACGTAATATTGAATTAATGATAAAGGATTTTAATAATATTTATCATAATAATAATATTTATATCATCATAATAATATTTACTTACATATTTGTCATTGTCTTAATGTAACTTAATGTACATTAATATAACGATTTCTACTGTGTAATACCAAATCTATAATATAAATAGTCAAATTATTTTCGACAATTTTCTTATGATTATTAGTGATATTGATTTAAAAATAACTATGGCTTTATATAATTAGTACATTAAACTACTCAGTTATTACTTTGTTCATGACTACTTTAACGAAAATTTACATTAGTATATCTGAATATCTTTACTTATATTAATTCTTAAAATTCATAACAAAATACTACGTAGAATAAAATATTATAAAAACTGTACTATTAGAAGTATATCATTAAAAGATGCACAACGATCAAAACATCTTTTAATTTCAATATTTAGTATCTTTTCGGTTAAGATTTATTGTTAACTTGAAACTAGTGTCAAATTTGTACAATATTGGTATTTATAAATAATTTTGGCTGAATATATAATAAAAATAAATCATTATAAAACTCTGGGCCAATGCTTGAATTTACATGAAAAACCATTTGTGCTACGTTAATATTGTTATCGTTCTGGAATTGTTCATCAATTTCTGCGAATATAATTTTCTAAAATCTAATTTGATTATGATTTATAAATTGTAATTTTTATGCACTTGTATTGTTGTACATTATTGGTGAAAACTAATTTATTCGATCCCATGTACATAAAAATATTTATATACAGGTACTTATAACAGTATTTATAACTGGGCTAATCTAAACGTTTTATGAAAAATAAGATTCTATAAAAAATAGTTGGAGAGACAAATATTACACTTTTATTTATAAATGACACTTATATGAATATGCTTTTATTAAATTTTTTACATGTGAAATAATCTTAATTTTATATAATAACTAAGCTATCTTAAAGACCATCCACTGAAATTAAATCCACTTTATTAAAATTGTAAGAAAAATTACCTCTTTTGATTATAATTTATGAAATTTTTAAATATGTAGGAATTCAAAATATGCATTTTTATTTTAAGTATAAAAACTGTGTTTTATTAAGAAAAAAATGTATCTAAATAAAACGTATTGCTGGTAAAGTATCTATAAACTTGAATGCAAGAAACAGTAAAACAGAAATAAAAATATTTGAAAGCTTCTTACTGTCATAAAATATTTGGTTAATTACTTTATATTTTTTATTTCACAATATAACATTCTTGATTATAATATGTAAATCTATGATAGTAGTAGTACATTTATTTTAATATTTTTTCGATATTATTCTAATAATATTATTTGAACGTAAATTTTCCAATAAAAACTTTTATAATTTACATTTGATTAATTAAGAAATATCTAATTTAGAAATAGGTAAGATACACCAAAAACCGATGTTAAAAATAGGAGTAAATATATTTATAAATCTGAACTGTTTTATGCTTTTAATTTTTCTATGTAACATTTATATTATCATTTATTAATATATATATATATATATATATATATATATATTTATATTAGAATTATTTTTTGAAAGCTTCTAACGTATTGTATATTATTTATTTAAAAAATAGGTTTAAATTTTTTTTAATATGATACACATACAATAATACCAATCTACAAAATTCTTAGTTTAATAACTAATACATTTTCAGTATTTTAATTGTAACTTCTGTAGAACTTGGATTTCCTGAAATCTTTTAAGTTAAAATATAAAATATATTATGAAATATATTAATTTGTAATTACTTTAAGGTATCACCTTAAAGTTAATTCAATTTCCGTCTGAAGAATAAATGTGTACATTATTGAAATTATATATACATATAGATAAATTATGATGTGACCTTTTAATTTAAAATTTATTTTTGTTAATAATTAAAAAATATTTTTCATGTTATTTATTTTTAATCATTTTATTATAATATATATATAACTTATCTAAGCTTTTTAAATACTAGGTGGTTTTTTTTTTCCATAAAGATAACATTTTAAACAATATTTAAAAGTATCTCTCTTGAAAAGAGTTATTGTTATGATAGATACAAAATTATCAAAAAATTATTCATTTTTAGTAAGACTTATTTGAATTCTAATCAATTAATAAATTTATAAATAGGTCAAAATTTCAATCTCTTTTATTTAATTTTAAAGTTTTATAATAATGTTACAAATAACATATAATACAAGAATAATTGTTTTTAATAATAATATTCATATGGTATTAAATAGTTATTTATAACCATTTCAACATTATTTCTATTCAAAATGAATTTGTATATGATTTTTTTTAAGAATTATCAAATCATTTAATAGTTTCTTTTAACGTAATTTTCATTATTGAACGTATATACCAAACACCTATCAAACTAGTGTATTTATAAAATATTTTTAATCTTAAATACAAAACATTAAAAGTCTGTGATTTATCCGATAATATACAAATTATATATTCACACAGATACGGTATATGTTAATTGAATAATAACAATGACTTCTTACTTCGGATGAATATTATTTTTTATTAATTTTTATGTATATTGTCAACATTTTTAACATCGAGTAGGCTGTTTATTTAGTAGTAAGTGAAAACACGTATATTTATTTCTTAGTGACAAAAATGCGAGATTCAAGTATGGAAATTTGTGTGTAACGAGTCAATTAGTATCGAACAAAGTCAGTGGACTTTGAATCTTTTTCATAACATATGCATGTAAGGTAATTCACTTCGAACCTTACGTATCTACGCGGTTCAACTGGTGCAATACAATGTGCACACAAGCCGTTTGCATTATGCGCATGCGCATCCCCACTCGCGACATGAATTAAAAATCATGGCATTATATAGAGTGAGACGGATAAGCAAGTGTATCTTGCGCCAGTAAGATAGACAACGATAGAAGAATCGAACAGCGGTTGGTGGGAGGGCGGTAGGGAGGAGGGCGGGCGGAGAAAAAGGCTCTGGTGCGACGAAAGCAAGCAGCTCTAATGCCGACCAAGTCGTGAGACTCGAGAGGCCGCTTTAGTATCCTCGCGAACATCGTAAATTTACGTTATCTAATATGTGGTAATTTTGATATTTGACTTTGGTAGAACCGTCGGTCTATCCAAGGTTCTCGTTTTCTTTTAATAATAATAACAACAACAACAAGACATTTAATCAGTGCTTGCCAAATATTGTCGTTGCTATCAATGAATACCGCACATCGTGGATCCAAGCGTTATCTTCGATGTTAAAAAAGTTTCTCCGATTTGTATTGCGTATATTTACGGGAACACAGTGCGGGTTATAACACTACAGTATATACTCGCTTGTAGTGGTTCTCGCGCTCCATGGCAACAGAGCGACATATTTCATCCACTATCGTCGGGAGTAGCAAAGTAGTGGCAGCGACAGCAGTATCAGCTACGAGACTTGAATCAGCATTACTTTGTCCAACAAGGGTAGAAGATTCTTTTCATCTTTGATTTTGATATTCTTGCGAAGATAAAGTGTCTGGATAATTAAATCAATTGGCAGTTTTGGATATTAGTAGTACTGTGTAACTTGAACATGAAGCATCAATCAACTCATCGATAATGTAATCGAATATATGCTCAAATCTTTTGTTTTTTTGTTTTGTTTTTGTTTTTGTTTTTTTTTTCTTCAATAATTTTATTAGAAGATCTATTTGAATAAAAGAGTGATAAATAATATCAATGCTAATAAAAGACCGTTTTGCACTTATATGAATCGGTATGCATTTGTTGCCAAGATACACCTACTCAAATAGGTTCCCTTTATTATAAGAATTGTCGTGAATAAAATGATGATAGAACATTAATTATAAAATAGAATTATTTTCTACCCATTTATAACAAATTTTTTTTATACAATTATAAAATATTGTATTAAAATATTCATATTTTTATAGCAACCTTTACTTTTACTTTTAAATCATTCATTCCTATTATTAAAATAGAATTATATTTTTAAATAATATTTCTTTTAATATTTCTTTATATAAATATGTTATTATTTCACAAAACTGTATAACAAAAATATATACGATCGATTTCATTCGCTAAAATCGATTTCTAATATTATATTTTACAGAATTTCTGTAAGAATTGCTCTTGTAGTTATAAAAAAATTAATTTAGTTAAATAAATAAAATCTATAGATTAAAATTTAATATTTTTAATTTGTTATATTTAATTTTTTCATAATGTTAATGCACAAAGTTATTGCATAATACATTTTGTCTTATTTCAAATTCTTTTTTAGTTTATTAATGTATATATATATATATATATATATATATATATAAATAATAACGAAATAAAAATTCTTGATATTATGTTACTTTAGAAATTTATATATTATATGATTAAAAAATAGACAACTATTGAATTTACTAATAAACGTTGATTTAAAAATCATCAAGTTGAAACATAATTTTATTTAAAATTTTAATCTTAATATGAGAATTAAAATTAACGATGTATATAATAAATATAGAATTAATATATAGAATTAATGATTTATATAATAAATAATTCACATATTTGTAACGAAATATTTCAAATTTAAACTGTAATTTATCCTTATAACTATAAAATTTCAAGAAATCCAGGAAATAGTTAAATTCATGAATAAATAAACAAAATTTTTAAGTATAACGCAGATGTTTATTACATCGGTGGAACTTGAATAAGTTAGTGTGATTTTGGAATTTAGTATGTTAATCAATTTTCCATATTATTTAGCTGACCAAAGTACATTACATTTACGAATAAGTTTATCATATTGAAATAATACTATAAAATCTTTCAAAATTAATATCTGTTAAAATAACTTTTAATTTTACAAATACAATAAAGGGAAGTAAATAGAAATGAACAATTTCATTACAATATGAAGTCAATTATGCAACTACGATAAATTAAAATATTTTAACATATGCACTTTTATTGATTGAAATATGAAATAAGAGATGTAAACTGGGCATATTTTTGTTACCATATAATTAATTTCAATGTTGAATTTTTTGTGATATTTCGTGGTATTTTAAAAATTATAAAATAATCGAAATAAGTACATCATCTTAATCTGTAGAATATTAAATAAATTATATATTTTTAAAAATACGTGTAATTTATTGTTGGTATAAATTTATAGAAATTTTTTTCTCAAAAACTATATTAATATCAATTATGAATTTAATGAAATTAAATAAATATTAACATTGATTTGCATTTGATTTATTGGTGATATAAGGAATCATTTCTGATTTATTGTCCCTTTACATATAAAAATACATTAAGTTTTAATCACGATAGTATTTCTCAACATAGTACTACTATTAAAAAAAAAGCCACAATTATAATTAAATCTTAATTTCAATTTATACTACTATGAAAATAAATGTTATTCCTAATAATAATTTTATCGTTCAAATACCTTTTTTTTTGTTTTTTTTTTTAAATTCTTTCAACTCCATTTAAAGTACAAATGGGAATTCTAAACTAAAATGTATAATAATACTACGTTTATTTTTAAATATTCTAATCTTTTACAATAAATTTTTTTAATAAATCCATCATCACAATATTTGCGTATTTTTCACATTTGTAGAAGGAAAATTTTTGCATATATGAAAGTCCAAAAAAACTTCTAATTGATACTCTTTCATGCATATGAAATGCCTTTATATACACACATAAATCTCCGTGAAAAAATATATCTTTTCTTTAGGTTAAAATAAAAACTGCATTTGGCCGTCTGCATATATCAAAATATTAACACTCTTAACGATCTTATACTGTATAATACAGAAGAAAATTCGCTTTAAAAATTTCTTTAATTAAATAGCAATTAATTGCTAGTGAACAGTAATTTGGATTTACAATTTTTAATTTTAAAATATAAAAACATTTTATTGCTTAGAAATTTAATATTTTTCTTTCACTCTTAAATGAAAATAATTTTCTGAAAGTAATTAAATTTAAAATATTAGTACTACTAATTTATTGAAGGAAAATGAGGTTATATAATACATTTTATATAATACATTTGATATTAACAAGATTGAACTATAAATATTGCTAATAAGAAATATAAAAATAAATAGTTGTTTTTATTATGAAAATAGAAGGAAACTGTGATTGGAAAGAATAAAATAAAAAAAATATTCAATTTTATTGAAAAATAGTTTTAAAACTTTGGAAAAATAAAAATATAAAGTGCAATTATCGTATGTTGTATTTTAAATATATACATTTAAAGTTCATCAAAGCTATAATACTAAATATAATTCAATTAAACATACACTATGTTAAACTTTTATTTTAAATTGAACTGAAATATTTTAATTTGATATTTCCATTTGTTAAACAATACCTAATAAAGTAGAGATGTAGATTTTACTAAAATAATTTAAATGATTCAGCTTCGGCTTAGTGAATTAGAAAAATATAAATCTCATTTATACAATATAATTATCTTAAAAGTTATAATATTTGTTATTTTAAATATTAAAATAATAAATTTGAATTTGAATAATTCCTGTTTATCAAATAAATTTTTAATACTTATTCTTAAAATAAATTTTTTTAATATAAAATTATAAGGACTATAATTCTAATAACCTTAATTATCAATTTTATAATCTAGTGAATGAATACAAAATTAATTTTCTTTATCTTCATACATATTTTTACAATACTTTATTATATAAATCAGTTAAAACATAAAATTAAATAAAAATAATGTGAATTAATACATAAGAGATATTATTTAAAAATTTTTTTGTAGAATTTGAGTATTAAATTAATTTTTGAATATATATATAACTGTCATAATTTGGCTTTATATTTTTTTTATTCATATAGGATATATTTAGTAAAGCAAATTTTCATAAATGTAATTTAATCATGAAAATTCAGTATACAATTTAATAAATAACTACTCCATAAATTAAACAATAAAAACAAATGGAAAAACATATGGTAATAATATTTTTGTATAGAAAAATTATAAATTCTTTTTAATAATTTTAATACGAATTTTAGATATAAATTTAATTATGCTATGATAATATTTAATTTATCTATATTATATTGCTTAATTTTATACTTGAACGAATTTATATTTTCTGAATAAAAACTGTCAAATAATAATATGAATTAAATAAACTTAATTCTTTTGATTAATTTATTTTGCTTTCTACTTAAATTCTTTAAAATATAATGAATGTAATTTAAGTAATAATTTTAATAGTTTAAAAGCAAGAATATATGTTTATGTATTATATATATTATCAGTATAATATATCTTTTTATTTTTATTTTACGTTTTATATGTATTGATTTGTAGAATAATTCTATATCGAAATAATAATAACTTTATTATATATTTATATGAATAAATAATTATATAAAAGTAAACTTTTTTGAAGTTTAGTTATTTATTGCATTGAAAGTTTCTTAATTAAGTCTTAATTATAAATGAGACTTAATTCACGTGTCAGCTTACTATGCAAAATATATGAAAAAGAAAAAATTTATTTTTAATTTATTGATTATAAACACTGTTAAGACAACTGCATCATCATAAATTAAAATTTTGTTATTATAAGTATTTTACTATAATATATATATATATATATATATATATCTTTGTAAAAGTTGTAACCTTAATAAATTATTGCTACGATAATAAATCTATATACTTTAGTAAATATATATGTATATATGTATATTAGTATATAGTATAAATATATATACTTTAGTGTTTATAATCAACAAAATTAAAAAAAAATTCTAAAGTAAAATACATCAAATGAAAATATGAGAAAAATAAAGACTAGATTTGTCATTTGTTTCTATTTCGTACAATTGGTCCTCCATTTAGAAGAGCTTCTTGCTTTCTTACTTATGATGACGTCAACTCTAAACTACAGATGCTGACTCATTAGTAACCTGCTTCCTTTCTCTCCCTCTCTCTCTAACTCTCTCTGTGTCTCTGTCTCTCTGTCTCTCTCTCGCGCTCTCTCTCTCTCTCGCGCTCTCTCTCTCTCTCTCTGTCTCTCTCTCTCTCTCTTTATAAGTTTATAAACTTTATTTACATACTATTGAAAAATTGTTAATTCAATAATATTTAAAAAATTTCGGATTATGTGTTACGGGATACAGTAGAAACAAAAAATGAAATAAAAATAAGTACAAATATAAATGATTGATTATCGAACTTTAATAAACAAAAATTTTAAATCTTAAGCAAGGATAATGTACATGAGATTTTTCTATAATTTGTTTAAGATTTTACTCGTTGTAATGTTTTAAGAGATGTATTTAAAAGATGTGCAAATTAGACAACTTACTACTCAATTACTTTATTACACCATGTATAATAAATACGTGTATTCAAATATTTTACATTCATACAGAATTTATTCATATTATTGAAGAAATTGATATTTATTCTACATTCCGTTTTATGTTTTGTATATTATCATACATTAAGCGGAAATAAAAATTATATCAATGCCTAGTATGGTATAGTGTAATTTTTTAACTTATTAATCGAACATCTAACGTTTTCTCAATGTAATCGATTTAATTATAAATCAAAACAATTGATTTTTTTTAAATATAAAAGTAGATTTTATTCAATAAAATTTATGTTTACATATAGAAATTAAAATAAATAAAATAATAATTGTTTACGTTATTACATCAAAATCATAGTTTAGAAATCTAAGGATCGCTTGTATATTTTTGACATCTTGAATAATGTTTGGATCAAATATCTATATTTATTGAAATATTTTTAGCCTTGAAACAAATGAAATTTTAATTTTAAAATTGAATTAAATATTATTGATTTTGAAAAATAAAGAAAATACCATTCATAATTTTCACTATAATTATCTATTTTATAAATTGAAATATAAAATGTAATTTTATACATTTGAATTAAAAAAATTTGTTAATTTTTTTATACATATAATGCATGATAAAACAAAAAATGCATATATTCATAGTTTTCTCAAGTATTTATTAAAATCCATTATTAAATATTTTAATTTTTAATAAAACTTCATTAAAGTATAAATAATACATATGTATTAAGAAAAAGTTTTATATTTATTAAATTATCTATATGTATTAAATTTAGCAATAATATCTTTTATTGCATGCGTATGTATGTATGTGTATTTATGGTTATTATTATGGATATTTCTAATTGTAATATATTATACTAGATCCATTAATTAAAATTTTTATTGCAAACTTCTTAAAAATAAAAATATTCAGTAATTGTATGTAATAATGTCATATTCGTTTTCAAACTATGTAAAAAAACTGTAAAGATTATATATATACTTAGAAATTAATATTTTGGTATATTTATGAATATTTATGAAGGAAATATATTTATGAAATATTATCCTCTCGTCAGACATAATTTTGAGTAATTTAAGAAAGAGAACATAACACAGCTTAAATGATAACTGTAATATATTATTTTTCTACACAGTGTTATATTAAATAATTCATTTTATTAATTATAATTTTACTTTTTAATTCTATATACAAACTATTCTGTAGAGAAGATACATGATTATTCACTGATTTAATAAAAAAAATTTTTTAATATCAGTTTATAATTATTACTTATAAGAATAGATTATTATTATTATTGAATTTAATTAAAAAAATTATTTAGAGCTCAAAAGCTGTAATCAATAGTTGAAATAATTCAGTACAAGGAATCTATAATTATATTCTAAATATACTAAGTAAGTAAATGCATATTTATATATGAAAAATAAAAATAAGTAAAAATGAAGAATCTAATTAATGGCTTTTTAATGAGTTATTTAGCGTTAAGCTATTCTAACCATTTGATTTAACAGTGATGTTTCCGTTTGAATTTTTTAAAACTATCAATTTATAATAAGAAATGCTACTAGATAATATGTTTATTTTATAACTACTGAAAATTCTCATAATTAATTGTATTGAAAAATTATTAAAATTTATGTCATATATATATATATATATATATATATATATATATATATATATATATATATTGATCAGAACTAAATTTGGATTATTATATTTTAGTATTTCTTCGATAATTTCATTTTTAGTATTTTCATTTTATTTGTGATTTGTTGCATACTTATTCAACTATAACCAAATAAATTATCAATGTAGAATCCGTAGAATTCGTTTAATTACTTATCATGACAATTACCGATCTTGTTCTATATAAATAATGCAATATTTATAATTCTAAAATACTATAAAAAATGTATACCATAAAAATATACTATAAAAAACTACAAATTAGATCATTGACATTATCCTATGATTTTTTTTTAAATTAATTTTATTATGATTTAATTCATTATAAAAATTAATCATTAATAATCAAATCAGTGTTTGTAAATAGTCGATAGAGTTTATAAGTATATTTTATAAAAGATAATTTATTTATGTCATCTCGTATTATCTGTCAATATCTTTAGGAACAAAGAGAGTTTTAATGACACGAGAAATTCTGGTTACTTAAACGGATCTATGGAATCAACTCGATTTCCACTTGTGAAAAGGTGAAGAGTTTTGTCTCTACAGATCCGCGAGAATAGATACGCAATACATGAAATCTAATTTGGCACAGCATTATTTTGCACGTGTACATATATTTGCTTCTAAGCATATTCGAAGTAAAATTCAACAACTCAAGTTACGCGTTTCCTCTCTTTCTATACTGTTTATGTCCTCTTTATAATAGGAGCACATCCGTACAAAAATTGCCCCTGAATTCTTTGTCCCTTTCTAATTTTATCTACCTATTTTATACTTGTATCCAAAATATACACTAACAAATATATATTTGCAAAAACATTAATTTGTTATATATACTATATTATGAATACTCTCTTTTACGTATTTTATTTACATATGTTTGTTATTTAATAAGTTTTACTGTACAAGTAATTAATAGCATTCAAAATCTTATTACATGCATAACATAAATCTATAAAAGTGAAAACATATACGAATAGTAAATTCTGATGATTAATACGAATTATGTTATAAATACGTATAAAAATAATATTAAATATATAATTTGAAACAATAAGTTAAAAAATCTATATTCATTAAATTAAAATTTTTTAATTAATATTTTAACGTTTATAAACGTTTAAGTGAATTATTCTCTTAATAAGTCCAATTTTTTATAAATATGAACTAAATGATACTTTTAAATAAAAAAAAAAACTATTAAATGTAGATAAGGAAAATGTAATAAACAAAAATACAAAAATAATATCATGTAATATATGTAATGCACAAAAATAATTGTAATGATATTACATAAAATCAATAATAATCAAACTACAGTAATACCTGTAATCGTGAAACAAAATAATATAAAAAATATTTTAATGCATATAAGTAAATTATTGTATGATAGACAAATTTGTGTACGGTAAAGAAGTAAAGAAATTTTTGTTTAAGTAATAAAAAAGCAAAATATATTATAATTTTATATTAAAATAAAGCAATGATTTAACAAATATAATAAATAAACTGCAAGTATGAATCTTATTTGTACATTACCTTCTATAATAATTACAGTTAAAAATCTAATGGAAGAAAAGTTATATCAATTTTTAAACATATATTCTCATTTTTTTATTAGATTGATATAAGAGTTAATAATATTTTTTTACATACTATTCTTAATATACTTTATGTACTGTTTTATACTTTATATGATTTCTTTATATGACCAAATAATCTATAAGAACTGTAGACAAGTTAATTTAAAAAATTTATTAACATTATCCTTGCTATTCGTAATGAGCATACAGTCAGAAAGAAATTTAAAAAACTAAAAAAGAAAATACTATATATATGAAAGGCACTAATTTTCATAATTTTAATTCTTCTGAATACTTTATTAACTTGCAGAAATTTTTTAATAAACCACTTAACCATAAAACCATAAAAATTCTGCAAACTAATATTGCAAACATCAGTCTACATTCTTTATCAATGTACACGTCAGTTATTAGTATCTATGACACGACTAAAACACTTTTTATGCAAATAATACTTGTAACTTATTATTATAAGTGAAAATATGATTAACGAAGATGAAGTATAGTGATGTTGCTCAGAGTCGAATTAAAATATTTTTTTTATTATATTATTATAATACATTTCAGATAAGATAAAAAGGATTAATTTATTTTCATAAAAAAATAACGGCAATTGTTACATGGTGATCTTATAACAATTATAAGGAATATAGTTTATTTCATACAGTCATATTCGAATCCTATAAATATCTTATAATATTGAACTATAATGATTATTATTTAATTGTGTATGTAATGAATTATATAGTGAATTTTAAAATTATTCATTGTATTAGTTATTAAATGGTATTTAATAATTGAATTGTGATACAGTAATGTATAATATATTATTATAAGTAAAAATAGTGTTATTAGCACAGTGTATTTAATCTATAACATTTATAAATTAGTCTTATTAATAAATATAAGCTTAAAATGAATTATTTTTGAAAAATTGCTCATAACATTTATTTATTATTTATCATGTAAAAAACAAATAGTATACAACGTTTCTTTTAAAATGTTTTTAAGTTTTAGTTTAAATAATGTGAAAAGTTTTATATTCGATCCATCTAAAGTTTCTGAAAAATGTACGCAAACTTAACTCAAGAAAAATTTAAAGAGATATTTCATACGTGTATTATACAGTCCTTTACGCGTATATAAAAAAAATGGAAATTAATTAAAATATACATATCCTTCACTAATCATTATTATTGCTTTTTTAGTTACAATTGCAGATACGGTTGTATTAATTTCCTATTAATACAGAGTTTGAGTAGTTAAATAATAGATTCTAAAATAAATGTTTTACAAATAATTTCAAATTAATTTATACAAATAAATTTTTGTTATAAATTAAAAATAATTAATTTATATTTCAATTCTTTTTTATTTTATATTTATTTAGTTCATGTAAGAGACTTTTCCTTCATTTTCCATTTTCTTTCACAATTATTCTATTGTCAAGTATAAATATTTTATCCAATATTGTCTTTATATTAAAAAAAATTAATTTTATTGTTTAATTGCTATTGATAAGATTATCAGCACTTGTAAATATTTGAAATAATTTGCAATTATAATATTTATAATGAAATTCTGTAATACATATGTTGATCTTAATATGATTTAAATAAATAATTATGAAAGATCGTTTCATCAGTAGTACTTTTACTCTTACTTTAGCTTCCATAATTTATGTGAAGATATCCTTATAGTAGAGATACTGAGATACCTTTAATAATTTTTTTATTATTACAGTGTAACGTCTATGTATAAATCGATTAAACATAATAAATTGGAAAAAGGAAAAAGCATCTCTTATTCACTAATTGACGATTAAGAAAATGAGCCTTACTCTTAATTTTTCATCTGGCTCGACAGAAATATTTCGATGAAAGTACGTAAAGTAAAACGATAATTTACGTTAATAGGTAAGATGCTGCCGCCTATTATGAATAATATAAGCAGCGAGATCTTAACTTTATATACGAGCCGAAACAGAAATGAGACCAATAGGACCGAAGGGACGGTGATTCATACTACACGGGCGAGGTATGCTGAAATTGGAGTGAAAAGGTAAGTTATAAATTTTATTTTTTTCTCAAAGACTATTGTACGTACTCTTATCTGATGCATATTTTGGTTCCATTTTTAATAATTTAATTTTAAAATACTATGGTTCGAACAACCTTTCACAATAAATTGTAGCATGCATAGTCTTACAATAAATTATGTGTATTACATTTATATCACAGATTTAAAAGGTAATATAAACAAAATTACCACAATTAATATATAAATTTTATAGCTAATATAATTTATACTAAAAAATATACTTTTATAAATGACTTCAGCATGAGAAGTAAATTCAAAATTTCTCTTATTTGATGTACTACTATAGTTTCTTTACTATAAAATATTAATTTTTTAGATAAATTATTTTATAATAAACAAGTTAAATACTTCAATACTTTTTCAAGTCTTCTATTTATTTCATATTTATATTTCACCATTTTTCAAATTTGAAAAATCGTTATTGACATAAAAATAAAAATAAAAGTATATAAAAATGGAAACATACATTTTACTGTGGAAAACATATTTTATGTCTAAAAATATATTTATCAGTATAATTATATTTCAATAATTATACTATTATATAAAATACTCGTGAATTACTTTAAATTCATTCGTCATTAAACTTAATAGAATAAAATATTAAATTATAATATAATAAAAATTCACTATATTTTGCAATTTTGTAATTTTGATATTAAGTATAATTCCTTAATAATTAAGTAAACAGTGTATCAAACATTTCATTCTAAATTAAAAGAAAAATTTTATTTACTTTCGTTTGATATTTAAAATATACTATAAAATACCTTTTGTACGACTAAATAAGAAAGCAACATTTAATAAGTAAATATTATATTCACTTGATTAATTTGATATTGTATGTTTAGATATTGTTGATTTATTTATTATTGTATTCCTTTAATAAAAAAAAAAATTAATAAAACAATTTATATATCTACAATCTAATATATAATACACGATATATAATGGTGAAAAATCGTAAATTAAATAGGTATTATCATTTCCTTATAAGTATGAACTTTGAACAGCCTTGTCAAGTGCAATATTCATAAAACATAAATTGGAATGCAAATAAAATTTCAATTAGTGTTTATAGATAGTCTCAATGAATTTAATTATAAATGCATTTTGCATAGATGACAAGGAGCTTCAATAATTAAAAAGGAATACTTAACTTTCTAAATGACAGGAAATTGTGTGAACTAATAGAAGTGACTATGAAATCAAATCAAAATATTTCTTTTTGGGAATTCATAATAAAGAGCTACTGCTCAATGGTTCTTGTCTAATGGTGTAATTTAAACTTGAACAAGAGGTATACAATATAGCATGACGATGAACATTGAAATATAGAAGTAACGTATAGTCTGTATAGAGGCTTATTCTAAGCTTTCACTCCAACTGCCTTAGAATTCTTCTAAAATCAATAAGAAATCTCGTTATTCTGTTTCAACGTTTTCTATTCAAAAACCGCAGACGATTTATGTATATATATATATATATATATATATATATATATATATATATATTCTTTATTTAAATCTGTATATAATCTCAATTTGTACTTATATGTTTAAATTATATACCGATATGCACATATAAAATCATAGTAAAATATGACTATTATTACTGCTGAGATTATTCAACAAGTATTGAAATGCAATGACAAATAACAATAACATTTTATTAATTTTATTATATTAATTAATAATGTCTGTAAATATCTTGTACATATTTAAATATTATTATATTTTACTTGCTTGATACATACATAAATCGTTTCGTCACTTTTTGTGAATAAATGTCCATAGAAATGAAAACTAGATATATTTCAATAATTTTCATAATAAAAAAATTAATTGTTCACTGCTGACTATCAATGTCAAAAATAAAATATTAATAAATGCATAACTACCTGTATATTTGCTATATTGTATATGTTGAATTAATATATTTAGTATAGACGGTATTTTATAAACTACAGAAATTTAAAAAAAGAGTTAATACCAGACTTATCAACTGCAAGTAAAATAATAATTTAATAGAAAAATATTGATTATCGCATTGTCGCTTAAAAGTGATTCTACTTTATGATATAGTTTAACTTGACTGTTATATTTACAAAATTATTTTCAATATTTATAATTTGTTTCATTAAATAAGTCAGGAAATCACACACAAATATATTAACGCATAAATTGTAAAAAAATATCAATAAAAATATTTATTTTAAATCGGTTATTTTAATGATTATACAAGTGCAATGACTATATCATTGGCTGATTTGAGAGGCTACAAATATTTTAATGTATCTAGAGCTTGCAATTTTTGATGTTTTTTATTCTAAAATTCGAATTTATTTATTTTGTATCCATGATATCTATATGTACAATTTTATGAAAAAAAAATGAGATTTCTAACTACGTGAGTGAATTTCAATGAACATATTGAGCAATAGGATTAAATACGTTTGCAAAATAATTTTTTTCGATTCAATTAAACTATAATTCGTTAATCAATGTTAAATCTAAATATCAAGGGGTTTAAATTTTATTAGTCAATAACTTTGTAAAACTTTGTTTTTTATTAAGAAGTATTGTATTAAAAAATATATTCATGAATACGTATTTTCTTCAGTATACAAGAATATTGTTTATTTATAATATAAGATGATTGTACTGTAATAATGATACCAATAAGTTCTTATAGAAGTTTAAATGCTTCATTATTAATTATTTAGAGATTCAATTAATATTGAATAATTAATAATATAGCTAAGTTATTAATAATTATCTGGATGATTCAGTAATTTAATTAATTTATATTATCGACTACTGTTTCTTAAATATTCTAAATGTAATTGTTATAAAACAACAAATAATACATTTCATAGATGTATTCAATAATATAAGCAATATTTAAAATGATATTCATGCTATATATTTTCGAAAATTATACAATTATTTCTAAATAATATTTTAAATAAAAATTTAATATTATTTTTAGAATATGGTTCAAGTATTATAATATGACTAAAATATATTTTAATATATTGAATTATATAAGATATATGTAGCATTTCATTAACGCATTTTTTATAAATAATATATATTTATAATTTCATATAACAATTAACGTAAATTTTTATTTACCAACTTTTTAATGATTAAATAATGATTCATTTCTTCATAAATTAAATTCTATATTCACATCACAATAACAAAGTATTATAATTTAATTGAAAAGATTTGATGGCCAAGTAATTCCATCCTATCCAAATAAGAATCGTTAAAATCTATTAAAAATCATTTTTTGGTCATCATTTTATTTCTTATTTATATTTGGCTTGTTTAGTTGTTACACTCGATACATAATTAAGGGCCCTAGTACGGTTCTCTCTCTCTCTCTCTCTCTCTCTCATTCTCTCCCTTTTTCTTATTTTATATTTCTTTTTAATTTTGTTTTTACATTGTTATTGTTTTACAACAGCAACAAAAATATATAGAAAGACATTTTATTAATATAATATAATATAATATGAATTTTCGAAATAAGAAAATTAGTTTCTATATATACAACAAACAATATGAGACATGTAAATTTATATTTATAGTTTAAAGTAACAAATGCGAAATAAAATATTGTTTCTAAGTGTAATAATTTTTAAATGTTACAACTCTATTATTTAAATAAATCATATTATTATTAATTTTTTAAATAGACAATAATATTATTTTCAATGAAATTAAATTAAAATTTTCTTATTGAAAAATTGTTGAACAAACACAATTTTTTAAGCCAGTGAATTGCAATAATAAAATTATGTTATTATTTTATTCGAGATTTATTATAATTTAAGTATAAACATATTTGTGTTATATAATTTAATTTGTATAACAAATTTTTTTGTTTTTTTGTTTTTTATATTATCCTTTCCATATATACTGCTTGATTAAAGGTGATTTTATAAAATTAGCAGATAATTAATGTAATTTTAATTGATATTTTATAAAAGATTCTGTAAATTATAAATATTCACAAATGTTTTGCCTAATAAAATAAAAAAAAAAAGAAGAAAAAGGATAACTATATACGTTTATCCCTCCATGATGTATTATGCTTGGTAATAATTTATTTTAATCGAATTACTAATTATACGATTATATGATAATAAAAACAAAAGACATTTTGTAGAGGGGATAGACTTAATCCGAGCATGAAAGGCTGGAGTTTCTACATTAAAATCTATTACAGCAACCTAAATTGATACGGAGACTAACATGTACTTTGATTCAATTTGTTAAAAATATTAAATATCTAATTATTATAAATAAATAAAAGAAATAAAACTCAAAGAGTATGCACTAGAATGTAGCCTGTTGTAGTAGTGAATGTTAATGGTCAATTACTTAAGGAATGGTCGTATAATATAAGTGACCCATTCAATATATGTGATATAAAACAAATTCTATAACTGATCATTGAAGGATACTATTAGCATAAATCAAATCTTGAATTTTCTTAATGCTTTCCATAATATCAATAAGTTTGGAACGAAATCTCAAAAAGTCAGAAAATATGACAAATTTATCAGTAAGAACTAAAATAAAGTAAAAAGAAAAACAATGTCATACAATAAATAGATGCATGCTAACAGAAAAATAGATGCAGTGTATCTAATGAGAAAATAAGTTAAAGATAAGGCCATCGGAACAAATTAGATAAATAAAACCAAGAAATACAAATGTACGAGTCAAGCGAGAGAAAGAAGCTTGTGAATTTAAGAGTATTAAAAATATAGGACTTTTCGTTTTCTATCGTATACCACTGCCTTCGTGAATAATCTAAGAAGTAACTCGAAGTTTACTTCTTAAATAACTGGGAACTAGATACAACAGCAAGTGTATACAGTAATCATCGTAAAACCGCATTTCACATTATACTGAAAAATGTGGAAACAAGTATTCTCAAATCGA